ATGATAGGTTTTTGCGATTAAAGAAATATGTTGCTATTTATATTCTCATGAATCTTTCTCGATGAAATTAATTACACGGATTTGTATGGAGTGTTTAACCTATAATGTGAGAAATTATTACCAAGATCGACAACAAATATGTCAATTATTAATTAATATGTCGATATTAAAAGCTTTTTTGAAATTCTCCTACATTGTACAATATCTCAATATTATCGTATATAAATTAGTTAAACAAAAATTGAAAATTGTAATTGACGTATACACGTTTAAAGAATACGATTTAATAAAAAATTCTATAATTAATTTTTACCATTAATTAATTAATTATAAAAATTATAATTTGATTCAAACATTTTGTACAAATGTACAAAACGTATTGCCGAAGTAAAAAAGGGAAAATAATCGTTACAATTTCATTGAAAGAGAATATAGAGATTAATTTTAATTCATAGTGAACGCAATAACCGAGTATATTAAAATTAGCGAAGCTTCATAATCGATATCTTTCATAATCCTAAATACACGTGTCAAAGTACGTAATACCGTGCTTTCGTTTCAACGTTAATTAATTATCCTATTTAACTTTTCTGTTGGAAAATTAAAAGCGATTTATGAAATAAATTGGGAATAATTGGTATATAGTTAGCAATGAAAATCGGAGATAATTTATTATAGTTGAGATTAAAGGCGAATTCATTATGAGAGAAGAGCCGGTAATCGGTTATTCCCTTTTCACAATGATGAAAATAATGTTTAATTTTTTTTCTTTTTTTTTTTATTTCATCTTCATGGTGAATTCAATACGTTGGAAATGTGTAATTCAAGAAAATTCGTGAAATTCTTCAATGCTTCGATCACTATGTATCTGTTCTTTCATTATTAAACCAAAAATCCCAAGGTCCCATTATACGGGCGTTCCGATACTATTCATATTGAAATTCTTTTAACGTTCAACCACATTTTTAATTAAACAGCAATGAAAATGCTGTATGAATATGAAACGTTTATTTTAATCAATAATATGATAATAATTAATAATAATAATAATAATGGATAAAAAAGGAATTTTATATTGTCATTTAAGAATCAGATTTAATTAATACTGTGTGTAATTTTTTTAAATTATCGCATTAATAAATTTAAATTATAAATATATTATATTATGTTTGTAAAAAAAAAAAAAAGAAGAAGAAGAATTCATTTATATTTTATCATTCAAACGCGAAATCTGAATTTCACAATTAAACGAGCAATATGAATATGAAATTATTCGAGAAATATAAATGATATAAATATAAATATATAAATGAAATTATGACAGTAAATTTTACATAAATTTAATCTTTTACTTCATTTTTTCTTTTACAAAAATAATAAAATTATTTAAATTTATATTCTATTTTTTGTATATAATCGTTGTTAATTTAATAAAATTCTAATGTAACAAAAAAAAATAAACTATTTATAAATAGCATATTTAAAAAAGAAGGCTGAAAAAGTAAGTATATATAAATTAACAAAATAATTTTTTCATTTCTCCTTTCTATTTTACATAAATTTAATTGCATACATACATAAATAAAATCATAAAATTAATATTCCACAAGAATTCAATCATATCTTTAATCGAAATCCGTATTATTTTATTATTCGAATAAATAAAAAATTTGAATTTCATGATGAAATCACGTGATAAAAAAATTTATACCAAAAATTTGTACACCGACAAGCTCGAAACTCGATATTCCATAAAATCAATCAAAAGCAATCTATTCTCTTAACTCTTTCGTCTCTCATCCTTGTATCGAATAGAATTAGAATCGAGAACGATGAAATACAAGAAAGAACAAATTATAAAAAAAAAAGAAAGAAAGAAAGAAAGAAAAAAGACGAAATAGGAAATAAAGATTAAAAATGGAAAACAAGAGAGTTTCTCGAACACTACTTACGCGTAGACACAACGAAGCACATTTCATGCTCATTTCATAGGGGAAAGCGAAAAAAAAAAGGGGGAAAAAAGAGGAGAAAAAAGGGAAAAAAGAGAAAAAAATAGAGGGAAAAAAGAGTGGAAAAAAAAATCGAACGTGTGTACATTACGGTAGACAAGAGAACTCGCGTTCGAGGCTGGAATCGACACGGATCGAATTGATGAGACGGAGCCAGTGAACGTTCCGCAATCAATTCCGCGTATTAACAGCATCCGATCAATATTCATGAACCGAGCGTGGTACGCCACGTCAAAGACAGAGTTCAATTTCGCGGCAGGTGATATACATGTAAGTGACTATATATGTACATACATAATAACGTGTTATGTATAGAAGATTTAAAAAAAAAAAAAAGAGAGAGAATCCAAAATTTCGAGGAAACGTTTGATTGAGACGAATCGAAAAGGTTAGTAAAATTAATATACAATATAACCTGTTAGCTAGCAAGGGATAATATTGAACTCGTATATGTTCATACAAAATTCAATTTAAAGACTTGAATTTTTCAACAATATCTAACAATATCTATATAAATATATAAATATGTATGATTTATTCAACAAATGTAAAATATTTATCCCATATCATAAATAACGTTTAATTGTCCTTAATATATTATACTCTATAATCTAGTTCATTGATTTTATAAAAAAGCCTTTGTATAATCAATTAATTTGCATAATTCATACCTTTTGGTAAAAAAAAATTCATCTTTAATGAGTCATTAACGAAAAATATTGACCAATCACAAGCGAATTATTTTATTCTTTCGTAAATAAGATATAATTACATAATTTTTATCCAACATTTAATACATTTGCTTCGATTTCATTTGTTCAAACGACTCGGCGGCGGTACATACCCAACACTACCGGCGACAAATCTACGCATCCTGTAATTGGCCTTAATAACTCACATTGACAATGGAAAAAAATCAATTTGAAATCACAAAATTATTATTTAAGCTTTATCTACTATCGACACGTACATCTCATCGCATGCTTGCATACAAAGCATCCAGAAACGCGCACATCGAAGTAACGTATATGAAATTGAGAAGCACGATGACGATTAACGACGCCTGTCTCGCTCTGTCCTCCATCCTCGCCCTTTCCATCTTTCTCCCTCGCCATTAAGGTTTCATCAAGATGACGACGCTGAGGCACGCATATCACATGGTGATGCATGGCTCCTCGAAGGGAACGCGTGGTTCGCGTGGAACAGGACGAAGATATATGCACGTCCGACACGGACGTATGCTAATTGCCGTGGCGGCGCGTCCCAAGGACTGGCACAATTAACCCTTCGTTTCATCGGGGCCACTAATCTACGAAACGGACCAGTCGTAACCGATCGAAGTATCAATCGGGGGGACGCGTTTCCGATTATATTGGCCGCGTGGGGAATATTTGACGTGTAGATTTTAGAGATGCGTTTGCCCGATTGCAAGATTTGTTGCGAGGAAAAAGCGATACCGATATTCGATAGTGTGCGAACGAGTTTTTGATTTTGATTCGAAGAAGAAGAATCGTGAAATCGTTTTCTATTTTTTTTTTAATTTATCTTTAGATCTTTAGATCAGATCATTGTTGTTGCTGTTATTTTTGTTGCGTTGAAGAAGAATTTGGAAAATGTGAAGTATGAACATTCAATTTTAGTAATATTGAAGTTTTTTAATACATACAAATGAGAAATAAAGAATTGTGAACTTGTGATTTTAGATTTTATGGATTCCTGGACTTGAAGAAGAATAAATGTGATGGATGAGAAATTTTAAAAATTTTAATTGAGAAATTGATAGAAATGAATGCTATTATTGTATAAATTGTTTGGTTTTGCAATAGTTTAATTTTGTTAAATATGTACAAATGTATTCTATTTGAAGTATAATCAATCAGAATGATCTTAAATTTTTATTATTCTTTTATTATTCTCTAGTAATAAAAATTTCTAGAAAAAATTGATGAATGAAATATAGTCCTTTTAATGCTATAGCTATAATTATCATTTAAAAATAATCTTGAACGATATAAAAGATTAGAATGTTAACCAAGATATTCAACACTAATTGTAAAATCAATTTGTATTAATATTTCTGGTATAAATAATTGAAAGATTACAAATATTTCTAATAAAATTAGTATAAAATATTAATTCTTCCATTCAAACACATTCTCTTCTTAGCTAAAATCAATTATTTCCATCTTTAATTTATTCAAAACACTTTTTGATCGTACATTTACAACTATTTACATCAAAAACTAACTGTAAAGGGATAAAAAATTTCGAATAAAGAGAAAAGAGTCCAATAATGGTCTCCACCATTCGCCAGTTACTTCTTTCCTGCCATTTTCTTTTCTTTTTTAGCTCTTCTTCATTTCTGACATTTTTATCTTCTCCCTTTTATAATCCGCCCTGATCTCTTCAATCTCATTCCACTAGCACCCCTTTTCCTTTTCCTACCCTCCTTTCTTATGTTACTCTTCCGTTGGATTATATTTCCTCTTTTCCATCGATCCATTCTTCCTTTCTTCTCTTTCTTTCTTTCTCTTAGTGCTTAAATCTAACATTCTAAATCCATAGTTAACCCGAATTACCTAAAATTAGATCCCGAACGATTCACGAGCTATATAACTATCAGGTCAAGTAGGATCGTGTTATGCAACCAAGCATTGTCCTCCAATGGCTGGCCAGAGTTCTTGACGATATTTGACGAGAGAGACCGAAATTGATTCGCGATTAAAAGTAATGGAGGGAAATGTGTTAATATTCGAGACGATTTCGCTTCGAATCATTATTGATTGATGAATTGTTCGCCTTTATTTATGTTGTTGTATTTTGTTAGAAAAGAAAGAAACGTAGAAATTTTCATAGAAATTAAAATATTATTCATTAGTTAATAAATAACCAAATTTTTAAAATTTTATTAAAAAACTAAAATCTCTAAATGTTGAAGTTAATTTTTTGTGGGAAATGGGATTAAACACGTGATGTTTTTAATTATTCCAGGATGCTGAGAACAAAAAAAGCGAGAAGAAAGAGGTTGTTGGTCCGCCTTTACAAACTGCGTCTGTCAGCGTTAGAGCGCTCATTGAAGAAAAAATTATACAGAAAAGAACGACTGGTAAGTTGTAGAGATTTTAAAACATATTTTTAAACTTATTAGCTCTCGTGTCCCATACGTCATCAAGAAATTAAAACTTTAAACGTGAAATTAAATAATTTTTATTTAAAATGAATAAGAAATTTGTTAGAACATGGCCAGATGAAACTCTAAATATTCAAAAGTGCATAGAATTATAAAATACAATTATGAATACTTAAATAAAAAAATTATTCCATTGAAGAATATTAATTATTAACTTATATCACACAGATTAACAAAATATACTTTTTAAAAATATAATTTAAACGATAATTATTAAATTTCAAGACATAAAAAAATAAATACAAATCAAATACAATAAATTGATTATTTTTACCAGATCAAAACATATAATGTTATTCATTGAATATCGAATAATGATATTAATATAACATTAAACAACGTCGAAATTCAAGGAATATATTCCTTTGAAATAGGAACACAAACGATGATTTATGTGCTTTGAAACGTATCTCGGTTAGATTACGTCTATCTTCCTTACTGTTCCTTACGTTTCTCTCTCTCTCTCTCTCTGTTTCTCCCTCGCTCTATCTTCTTAACATTTCGCGAACTATAATCATAAGAAACATACCGAGTTATATTAACTGTCGAGTTACGTTAACTTTCTCTTAGACACATTCAGGATCCTAACGTGACATCTGGTTACAGAGAATCTGTCGCTGAACTGCTCTGTACACATTCTCGAGTGCTTAAGACCGAAACTAATTGTAAAGCAACTTTGGATAATCGTGGAATTCATTAGAGTAAAGCGTAACGTGGGAATAATATTGGAATTAAGGGAAAAATATTTAAATATAACCATAGAAAAGAATCTTAATCAATAATTTGTTAAATTATTCTTCTTAATGTACAAATTAAAAAAATTATTTTATATATTTTCTTTAATTTATTTATTAAAATTATAAAACGTGAATAACTAAATAACTTAGTTAGTTTCTTAGAAGCTTAGAAAAATTTTCTAATTCTGCACATTTTTCAGATATCTCTCCATGGACATTAGCAAATAGTTATTTATAAAACAAACATTTTAATTTAATTTTAATATTTTATAATTCTAATCTATAATTTCCAATTATTATTATTATTATCATAGACTTTCAATACCATAATAGCATACCCATATCCTATACAATATATCTTTCGAAATGGGCCCCCAATTCAACCCCATTTCATATCGAAAATCCATCTTCTAAACGAGCCAGCTATATAACCAACGCAAACTGAATCCTGAAATTTCCATCGAGCGACCACGCAACACTAGGATAAAATTTCAACAGAATCGAAAATGAAACGCGAAAGTTCACCACGAGATAACGTTCGTGGGTTCATTTTTTTAACTTTCCAATCAACGTTCGACACGATGAGTCGTTTCCACGACGAAATATTAATCCGATCAAGTTCGAGGGGCGATGCTGAGATCCATCCTGTATTCCAACGCAGATCCAACCAAATCCAACTCTGTCTCTTCTCCTTGCTTCTCCTTTTGTATTTATATATATACATATCTGTGTCACATCGTTTGCCCGACTGTTTCTAATCTGTTTCTACGTTGTAACTTTGTATAACCGTTTCTATTATTATACGTGTATAATAATCCTTGATCAAAGATTAATTAAGATAACAATTTTGTATGTTGTGATAATTGTAGAATACAATGAATTTTAATAATAGTTTTTATTTTGTAGCTTAAATAATAATTAGTCTATATTACTTATATTTTATTATTATATACACTTTTGCATCTATGATTGTATAGATGGATTATTTAATATAAACAATTAAAACAATTTTTGCTCTTCATGTCTTTTATCGTAAATGATATGATTTAGAAAGATCTTCAAAGTGATATTTAATTTTATCTGTGTAACGTACATTTCGAGATTATACTTAACTTTTTTTATTTTAATTACAATAAAACATTGAATTCATTGAATTCATTTTGACATCAACTCAAAGATTCTTCAAAAATCTTTTCTTTTTCTTTAAAAACGAAAAGAATTAATTAACTCTATATTCAGCTCTATATTCTTTATTATATTATTATCTTATTATATCTTTATTATCTTCTCTATATTATTTAGCTCTATATTCTTATCACCATTTAAAGAAGATTCTCTTTGATTTTCTTTCCTCTTTTTCTTTTCCAATCTCCTCAATTTCGAAAAAATAATTGAGACAATCGGGAGACACGATCCTATGTACATCTATATCTTCAACTCTGTACTCGTATCTGTGTCCGTTCTTTATCCTTTATGTGTCCTCCCATCCGTGGAAATCCGTGTACATTTTCCAGAAGCTCGCGTGATATTCTAGCCAGCGAGAAATCGCCTCCTCCTCTATGGACTACCGAAGAATCGTGATTTACGAAGCGAGCACGCCAGAATATTTCTCGCATTGTCCACGTTCGAACGATAAATCACCCCCGCGATGGTTCTGGCGCGGGGGTGGGCGAGAGCCGCGCTTTTGTAACAAAGTGTGCGTCGTTAGCGATTTATGCGCTGTTTCGTTCTATTCGCCGCTGCCAAGAGCAATGGCGAAACTATCGTTCCTTCCGCGAGGATTCTTCGACGATTTCATTCCCGTGCTCGAATTAATACGAATGAATTTAACAGAGATAACGATTCAACAGCTGAGTTTCGAGGAAATTCATTGTCGATCATTGAACACTCGGTGAAAAGTCGTTGTACAAATTTTAAAATGAAATTCATTAAATTCTTAAATCGTGTATATATGTTTTTTATGATATTAAAATGTTGTATAGGGATGAATATATTCGATTATAATAAGTTTAAAAAATCGATAATCTTTTTCAAAATCTATTACATTTCACGCAATAGTTGAGTATATAAATTTTTCAACGAAGAAGAAAATATATATTTTTTCAAATACTAAAAGCTAAAAGCTTAAATAAAAATTATATATCGTTCAATTCAGAGATGTAATAATAGTTGGCCATTATTTTTTTGAAAATGAATCAATCAAGTCCAAAAGTGCAGTCATTTCATGAGATCGATCATTAGCCGTTGTTGACGACGTGTCCATCGCCGATACAGGGATGCAATTAGTGGATGGTTCCTGGTTGAGTTAGTTGTTGACGGCGATACGGTTTGATGTTTGGCTGAAGTCTCAGGAGGAACGATATTGAAGAGCGTGATGGAGCGCCTCGTCGACGTGTAAATTCGATACCCACGATTTCCAAATTTGATTTACGATCCTAAGTTTCGAGCTTCGTCCCAGGTGTTGATGTTTGTTTGCTTTCATTTCTTAACTTTGTTCAACGGTTGTCGATACAAGTCTTAAGTTTCTTTAGTTTTTCTTTCGTATGAAATATAATCTAGTTTATGGTTTTTATTATTAGGAGTTATAGGATTTTTAATTATTTATTTATACATCAAGTTTGTTTATGTATTTATAAAATTGTACGATAAATTGATACTAAGAAAAAAGAAGAAGAAAGTTTTTAAGATTCTTTTTTTAGTCTGATAGAACATTGATAGGTTCTATTTTGATTTTCTATAAATAGCAATTAAGATTATAATTTTTTTATTTAATCAATAAGTTTTATATATTAATTATATTACGTTTATTAACATTAATCAGCTATGAAACATTAAGTTTTATTTTATATTTTACTAATTCCATGAATTTATGTGTGATGTGATGAACGAGCTGAAAATTTTGAAACAAATCTTTTTTCTAGTTTTATAAAAAAAAAAGGATATTGATTTTATAGAAAATTTATATCCTTTTCAAATATTAAACCTCTATCATACAATTTTTCATATCGTTTTTAAATTATTGATCTATTTACATCCATAACTCTTTCCTCCTCGTCCACACAAAAATTCATTTCCTCTGTAAATATACGATTTCACCGTAATTAAAATAAAACCTAAAAACGATCTCTGTTTTTTAATTCAACCCAGGAATATATTCGGAAAAAACAATTTCGAAAATTTCACAATACCGTTAGAATTTTCGTTTCGATTAGATTGTTGTTCCACTTTAATTTCTCATTTCTAAAATCTTTCTATCCCAATCATCGGAGGATCATTTATTTTAATAATCGCAACAAGGGAGAGAGAAATATGAAATATTGTGATTATCGATAAATATTATTATAAAATATTGTTAACTTATAGATTAATAATATTTCATTAAATAATTCAAAATACCATTAAGATACATAAAAATTGATGAAATCGATCTTATCGATATATATATAAAAAAACTAAGATTATCGACAACGTAATCGATAATCAGAATTCTAGAAAAAAAAATCGAGAACGACGTTTACTTCGATGAAAACGTGGCGCGGGTTGCGGCGAACATGATATAAATATTCATTGCATATTTAGAGAGGTTGCATATTCACGGGACGAAACATTCATAAGCAGATAAATTGATTGTAAATGAATAAGTAATTAGAGACATGCGAGTGTGTGCCCAAGTATTACGTTCGTTAACAACGTAATAACGGAAGCAATGCGAATTTTAAAACAATTTGCCGTATGATAATGCCGCCGTAAATACTTAAAATCGATGTTTCATCGATTCGAGATATGCCATTCGTTAAAGATAAATAATTTTTTTTTTTAACTCGTCGAGGGAAATGAAATGGCAAATTGGTAAATATGATTAAACAAGAAAGTCAATTCTATTTTTTCTAACGTAGTATCCGTTGAGAGAAGCATTTTATTCATTGTAACAATTTAAGGTAATGTATAAAATAAAACTTAATAATCTCAGATTCAATTCAACGAATTGATTTAACTTCAACAAATATAAGAAATTGTCGATTAGCGTAAGCTAAAAATTGGCATAAATCGAAAGTAACATCGACGCGATGAATTCTTGAAGTAGAAACGACAATTTATACAAAATTTTTCGGGGATTTCTGGGGATAGGATTTCTAGGGACCTAGTTGCTGCTGACTGTGCACAACTCGATGCCGAGTG